CCCCCCCCCAAAAAAAAAAAAAAAACAAACCACATTAAGGAAAAACTATACGACAAACAAAAATGATATTCCTGACTTACTACTGAACAAGAGAAAGAGGGAGCAAAATAAGCTGTTAAAGTATACAAAATACCCCCCAGAACTGCTCTTTAGAAACACATGGCATTTCCAGCACCCAGATGCTTTACTGATGATATGATGGTTCAGTCTGTACTGAAGCCCATCCTAAAATACTCCAGAATTGTATTAATTTTGAAAGATTTAAAAATAAAATACTGATTCTTTATAATGGTCAAAGTAAGATAGAAGGGGAAGTATCTGGCATTCTGTTTCAGAGGTCAGGAAACTGAAAAAGATCAAAGTGCATGGCAGCAAATCAGAATTTGCAGTCCAGCTTGGTTTTCTTATGGTTTTACAGAAAACATAACACAGCTTTATCCTGACAAAACCCCTGCCAAAAATGAACTCTGATTACCTGTATTGCAAAGTCTATAAGTCCATTGATATTCAGTGCTGGCTCCATGAGATCAAAGATGAGCTGTATGTGGTGAGCCAAGGGAAGATGATACGATGTTCCTGAGGCAAAACTGGTTATCTGTTCAAGAACGTTACTGGAGATCTGCGAAAATGAATGTTGAAAAGCCATACAGTGACTGAGGGCTTCTCAGACACACTAGTGCTCCTAAAGTCCTATTGTGTAAGTGGTAATAGCAAGTAACCTTTTGCAGATAACAGCACTAACAAATCATGCCTGAGTATATCTATTACTCCAGTGTCCAGCAAGTCAGTTATAATGCTGTTTTATTTTCAAAACTGACGACACAAAAAATGCTGTTCTGCTGCTTTACAGCTGGCAGTCAAACTTTCTTAACATCTACAGTACTGATTTCTATTCTGTGGGGCATTTTGCTTTAAAGAAGAGGTAAAATAATTTTTCTTTTCATCTTACTGCATTGTGATTTTTTTTGATGTTTTCCAGACAATTAATAACACATTATCCTGCAAACAAAATATGTAGTAAATTAATTCCAAAGACCACAGCCAAAGCTGCCTTATAAATTAAGTATCAAAAGCGTATGTCTTTTACTCTGTTTCTAATGCTAGCCTTAACTTTTAATGTTAAGTTAAACTATACTTAAACATAGTAACACCTGACAAAGCAATGAAATCCTATGCTGATACATTTGCCCACTTACGGGTCCTAATATAAACCAGGAAAACTAGTGCTTGTAATTTAAAACAAATTATTTATGTTCTCCAGTCAGCCACTGATACAACTTTTTAACAGTAAATTCTAATTAATAATTCTAACATCCAGAAAAGAACACACCATATTATCCACCAGCTTCTCTAAGAAACATAGCTTGTTGCACAAAAACGCAGAAAAGTTTGCTGCCCTTCCTAACCATCTATACAGTAATGTAACCTTACACACATGCAAGAGATTGGGTAACGAGTATCTAATTTAGCAGCAATCCCTAAACAATGCTGTTAATGGAAATTTATGTAAAATTTGTTGTAAATTTTTGATTTAAAAAAATCATAAAATCCATAATAATCCAGAAAGCTTCTTGCAAACAAACCAGCCACCCTCCCACCCCGCCAACAGACAAACCAATCCCCCAAATATCTACTGAAGAAGGGATTTCAGAATGCCAAGGCAGCATTTTTCCTCTTGCCTTTGAAGAAGCAGTGCACTGAAAATTCTTGGTATATACAAAACACTTCTGAAAGCCTAGCTTTGCCTCTCTATAGCAGATATCTCTATAGCAGAATGTAAAAGGCTTACGATTTTATATAGTCAGTACCTGAGATGTCACCTGATGCTGATCAAAATAGGACAGCTGCTGTAGTTTTGTGAACATGGTCTCTAGGGTTGGAAATGCTTCTTGTTTGGTCTTCCTGGCTTTCTGCCCTTCATCCCCAACTTAACAGACACAAAATTACTTTGGTCATTTTATATTTAATGGATCCCTAGTAGCTTTTTGCATTATCACTGATTTAAAAGACAATAAAAATCTTCCAAAGCGTTACTCAGGACTACATAAACCCTTACTTGCCTCAGTTTCCCATCATACTTGGGACAAATATAGGCCACAGCATGTAACAATATCAAAGCTACTTTGAGGTTACTCCAATGCAAAAAGGCAACACACAAGAAAAACTGAAAAGCAGTCACACAGTTTTACCAGGATGGTAAGGAATACGCATTCCTACTGGCCAGTATCTCCTATTTCAGGCCTTAGCCTAACACAAGCATTCACAGCCAAGTTGCTATAATGGAAAATAGGGATTTCTAGCCACAGCAGCCCTTTGCCATCCTGGTGCAGCCACACATAATTGCACCTTGTCCTACACACAGATTGCACCTTGTGCTACAGGACCCTGGTCAGTACTGCACCCCACGACCATGAAGGGGATGAAAGCTAAATTACATGACCAACATGCATAGCTCCAGACAACTTGCTGAGCACTTTACAGATCCCACAATCTTCACTACAGGCTACCACATAGCAGTATTAAAGCATTTACCACCCATTTCAGTAGTACTCTTCTTATTCAGAATTTTGAGGATGTCTTTGGTAATCTTCTTCAGCTGATGCCTCGCTTCGTCACGCTCCTTACCAACGCCATAAAGGAGAATCATGCGCTGGTTACACTCATGACTTGAAGATTCATCCTGAAAAGACCAGATATGAGTGACATAGAATCATCTCTTTTTTCTGTCACCTCCTGTACAAACCTAGCCGGAGCAGCCCAGGCTGTGACAAACAATAACTGACTTTTTGGCAAAAAAGCATCTCCTGTGGAAGAAACACTGACAAGTGAAATGACTAAAGAGTAGGTGAAAAACAGAGAGGGGGAAAAATGTGATTTGACATTATGAATTATCTTTGCACCTGTAAGGATAGAGTCAGAAGCTGCATACGGTGACCCTCTTAACTGTCCCTGGATTGATATTCAGTAGCAGATTAGTAAATAGAAGACAGATGCCTAGAAAATGTGTGACATTTCTCTTATTATGTACTAGTCCCTTGAAAAAGGCTGCAGCCCAACTCCGAAAATTCTCGTTTACGCATCTCAAAGAAATAAAAATATGGATAGTTTATTTAAATTGCAACTAGTCATATTTAGTCTTTTAGTAAAATGTGTCATATAATGTTGACACACTGCATATAACTTAGAAACTCAGAGCACTACTCTGCAAGTCATCCAAGATACAGGCATTTAGTTATCCAAACTAAGCAATCAATACTTCTTTCAACTACTTAAAAATTTTTGTAAGAAATAAAGCTGTGTACAATACTAAAGAATCACAAGGCAAAATGGAGCAGATGGGAGCGCAACTCTACACTCAGAAAAATTGCAGAGTCTTACAACATACAGGCTCTCTTAAAAATAGTGACTCCCTTAGCAGATCAAAAGCAGGAAGTCAACAGCCAATTCTTTTTTAAAATTCTGTTTCTCTCCTAGAGGAAACAAAAGCAGAAGCATCAAGAACGTCACCTGGAATTTGCAGCTGTCTCTGGCTAAGAAGTTAGTTCACAGCCAGAGGAAGGTCTAAGTCTCAGAGCTGGGATGCACAGTGGCTCCTCTAGCCTCCCCTTTCTATAAGGAATGGACACATGAACACTTCTGCCTGCTCACAGGGGGAAGAGATAGAGGAACTGCGAACAACTTTCTGTCAGCAACACTAGCTTCCCATCACAGAAACACCCAAGTGTTTCATCGCTCCTCCGCAGCACACTACGGTAACCTTCTCTTTGATTTTGGGGTGGGAGGCAGGTGTCTGGTTTTGCATGCTTAGGAAATACTTATTTTATTAGGATTAGACTTGGCAGCTGAATCTGTTGCCAGCTTCAAAGCATAAGCCAATTGATTTCTATCTTATAGACAGAAATAAAACTTTGCAGCTCTGTAAGGATTACGTCGGGTATATCTGGGCATCACCTGACAAAGCATCAGCTTCCCCGAGTGCCTTATTTTCACAAAGGCAGAGATCATAGAGAAATAGAGCAATTTTATGTGCATCTACACATCTGAAAGTTGCCCCTTTTGAAACACAGGCCTTACTGGTTCAACATCCCTGCCTCGCCTTCCCAGGCAACCAGTTTGGATCAGACCTGATCTGACCAAGTTTTTTGGACTAAGAGCACCAGTTTTCAGCCCAGCCACTGGTACCGGTGCTGTGGATGCCCAGCACACAGTAGCTGTGTGTGATAGGCCGGCTGATGTACTCGGGTTTGTGGTAAGGGTGGGCTCGGACGGGCACATCACTGTGCAGGGTCTCAGCAGTGGCTTCACACAGGTGCTCGCTGAAGAGCATGGGATGCTGCAGCTCCTGCATGATGACTCATATCAATGAAGTTTCAAATTCACTTGCAACACAGCCCTGGTAAAGCAAGTGATTTAGGAAAACAACAGGATAAACTGCTAAACTAGAAGTAAAGGTATGCATGAATACCCACATAAATAAGGCTACAAATAACTTCAGATTTTGCTGGCAAGTGCATAATCTCTAAAGTAACAGGTACCATTAGCTGTCCAAGCGCCAATACGTAGGGTTGAAGAACAGGTACTCCTCTTTCACTTTCTTGCCCTTGAAAGCAACAAAAAGTGACTCTGTGGGGTGCCACATCCATCCTTTGAGCACCCAAGTGAAATGGCAGCAGCCCACCAGCTATTCCCAGGGTCTGAGCAGGGGGAAGAAGGGGAAGGCAGAGATTTACTTCAAAGACAACCAAAAGAAAGGCTGAAATAACACCACTGGGAGAAACAGAGGCCAGCCATGCAGAAATATAATAAAAGGGGCATTCGACTCCTTTTACTTCAGCCCAGCACTGCTAAATACGCAGTCAAAGTGAGTTTAAATGCTACCCCGTACCACACGGAGGAAGATGCAGGAAGGGATATTTCTCCCTGGGAGTAGACACATACCATGGCCCTTGCCAGCTCCTCACCAGCTGTAATGCAAGCACCAGGGCCATGAGGGCCGGGACATCCATGGCAGGGCCCCCAGGTCTGCACTGCACCCAGAAAGAGCTGTGCTGTCACCTACGCACACCAGGAGACAGGCAGCAGACAGTGGCTGCACCACCATGCCAGGCCCTTGCCCACCCCTGCAGCAAGACTCAGGAAAGCTGTGTGGGAAGCTCACGAGGCCAGGATGGAAGGTCACCTTAGCATTTCAGTCACAGAAGATCAAACCAGACCACCTTACAAACATGGCTACACCTAGTGCTCTTCTCTTGTAGAAACCTGATAATCTCATTAAAATAAAACACAATTTACAGCAGTCAAAATCCCCAACAAAATGTTCATAACACAAAAACTAAAACTAGAATAAAAAGGTTCAAGTCTTCTGATATAACTCAAAAATTCATTTTTCTTTTTGTTTTTACAGGAAAGAGGGGAAAGACAAAGTGCAAATGAAAGTCACAACCAACTTCAGCTACCCTAGAAACAACAGCAACTGCACCAGCGATAACAGAATCAGTCAAGTAATTTTTCCTTTGCTTTATACAGTTCTGTTCCTGGTGGGTATCACAATGAATGGCCTGGCAATGTGGGTCTTTTTTAAAATATCCAGTAAATCCAATTTCATCATCTTCCTCAAGAACACTGTCATTTCTGACTTCCTTATGATCTTGACTTTTCCATTTAAAATCCTTAGCGATGCAAAGTTGGTATCATGGGTACTGAGAGGATTTGTGTGCCAGGTCACCCAAGTTGTATTTTACTTTACCATGTACATTAGCATTTTGTTTCTTGGTCTGATAACTATTGATCGCTACCAGAAAGCTGCTTCGCCGTTCAGAACGTCAACACCAAGGAGCATCTTAGGGGCCAAGATCCTTTCCACAGCAATTTGGATATCAATGTTTGCTCTTTCATTACCCAACATGATTCTAACAAACAAGAAGCAAACACCTAAGAATGTAAAAAAGTGTGCTCTCTTGAAATCTGAGTTTGGCTTAGTCTGGCATGAAATTGTAAACTACATTTGTCAACTTATCTTCTGGATTAATTTAGCAGTCATAGTTGTATGCTACATACTCATAAGTAAAGAACTGTATAAATCCTACAAAAGGACACGATCCACAGGAAAAGCGTCCAAAAAGACTGTAAATCTGAAAGTTTTCATCATTATCACAGTGTTCTTTATTTGCTTTGTGCCGTTTCACTTTACTAGAATCCCCTACACATTGAGCCAAACAAGAGATGTTTTTGAATGCTCTGCTCAGAACACCTTGTTTTTCTTGAAAGAGAGCACGCTCTGGCTGACATCTCTAAATGCTTGCCTAGACCCATTCATATACTTCTTCCTTTGCAAATCATTTAGAAAGTCCTTGCTCGACATGCTGTGCAAGCACACAGCATCATCAGAACTCAGAGCACAGATGAAGGAGCAGAACGAAGGAGATGACACAGACGAGACACCACTCTAGAGTTACCGTACTCCCTCTTGGCCACGTATGTTTACTGGTAGGTAGAAGCAGAACTACTCCTGCAAAGAGTATCTAGAATTTCACTGACTTCTTTAGAAACTGTCCTACAAATGAAGCACAAACACCCTGGAACCAACATCCCTGGTTGCAAAAGTTGTGACACTAGAAAGCTTCAACCACCCAGTCGCAACTTCCATACTTGTAAGAATTGCTGAGAGGAAGTCTGAACTTGTAGTTGGAGGTGTAAGGAAAAAATTAAAACAGAGTCATGAAATATTACAGATGAGATTATGAACTGCAAAGATTTTGCAGAAAGAGTTGTCCGTGACAACACAAGATCTGGGAAATGCAAATAAAATACACAGTAAATGTGATTCTTAAATATAGCGACTTGTCACCTTGTATGCAACTGGCAAACAGAAATATAGGACATAGGTAAATAAGTTAATAATCTGTGCAGATTTTGGGTAACAGAATAACATTTTGCTTCTCTCATTATATTCTTGCAATTCTTAATTCATTGACCAATAATTAATAGTTGTATGTCACAGGAAATTATTTCATAATCAGGCTTATCTTGATGTGAGTTAAATCTGCAAATACTTCACCTAAATAAATATTTCATCTAAATAAATAAAAATGTACACTTTTATGGAGAACACTATATTATACTATAATATAGTGTTAATATATATATTATATA